AATCACTTGTACCGTTCTAATCATTTTCTCTGGAGGGAGTGGACCACAGCCCCCTTTTTCATCAACCCCAGCAAATGTAATACTGTCGCTCTTGATCAAATATTCATCTATACAGTAGCGAGTAGCCATTTAAGGCAGCAGGGGAAGTCAATTGGTCTGCTATCCCCTCTCACCCAGGTAATCAGAGCTAAATTGAAAATATCCAGACGCCAATTTCAAGTGGAGTTTTAATATTCCCTGCCTGCCTGCATGCTATGTCAGATTCCTTCATGTCTGGAGCCTTGAAGGCTGTGAAAGCATAAGCCCCTCATGAAAGCTGTTTAAATCCCATGCTCCGATACCACGAAAGAGACTATCATTGACAAATATGAACATAGATGTTGAAGCCACAAGTGCATAGAAATGTGTTCAGTCACTGTTAACTTGCGTAAGTTCATATTTAAGTAATATTATTTTGTACTATTGCTTGTTTCTATTGGCCCAAAGCCCATGGCATGAAGTACTTATGTTAAATTTGGAGTCATACAAGTCGAATATGCATGAAATAAAACACCAGCTTTGCAAAGCTTATGCAGTAGTCATGAGCACATTTTTACAAATATTGTAGTAACCCAGCAGCCCTAGAGATGGAAGCAAGACTGCCAATCTGCTCACTCATGCTCACACTATATACACACTAGCCAAGGTGAGTGAAGTGTTAAAACTTGATCTGAGCGGAAATCAAACATCCAACCTTTGGGGTGGTGGATGATTGCTCTAAGCACTGAGCCACTGTCATCGGATGTGGGGCTCAAAGTGCTCAAAGTGCTTTACAGCAAGGAACACACACACTCATACGCCAGTGTATCCAGAGTGGGGGTGAGAAGGGTTAAGTGTCTTGCACAAGGATACAATGACAGTATTCATTTGTAGGAGCTGGACTCGCACAGCCAACTTTTAGATCGATGGACAAACACTTTACCAACAGTTGCTGTAGGTGTAATCTACTCTCTCACAAACACACTGGTCTGTACTGTCTCTATGGTCCTTCCCACAGCTCAGGCCTCTCTTATGCTGTGATTACCTCTGAGCTGTGTCCAGACATAATTAAGATTTCACTCCCCCCTCCTGGTGCAGTGCTGGGCCATTGTGTTCAAGTTTTGAAGAAGGCGACTTCATCAAACAAGGAACAAGATTATAAGCAGGAAAGAAATGGAACATTAGGTTGCAAGACACTGGCCAGGATTATGACTATTATAAAAATACTTATTTGGCTAAACTAAAGGTGAGCACATTTCTTATTGGCAATTTCAATGTTCTCTGCCACTGGGTGCTAGATCTGCTGTGTGCTATAGAGGCTTATTACAGTAAATACAGTGTGTAGAACATGGAGTAAATGAACTCCAGCTGTTGGGTTGAATGTGCTGCTTTGTATGAAAGTACAGACATGCACTTTTATGTAACAGTTACATGAGCACATCCTCATTCATCTTATTGGAGAAACACTCCATCTTAGCAAGTATGGGCTTTTGGTGGGATAATTCCAAGACTGACTACATAACTGTAAAATAATTTGGGGCAAGTAGACACTTTAAAGGTCCTATATATTACTTAAGATGGATTTTTGTGCCATGTTAGAATGTTGTTAACTCATATCTGGAGTTGTGTTTTGTTTCATTCACACGTGTTTGAGTAATCCTTTATTATTAGTCTGTCTACACTCCAAAGCTCAGAATGTTCTGTTCCACCTTTTCATGGCATGAAGCGATTGTCTTCAAGTTAACAATGATCTTTCAGAAAAGATTGGCAATGTCAGAGTTGACTCATCCAAATGATTATAGTGAAAGTGCATGGAGTTAAAAAATACAGTTAAGCCCTTCCTATATTACCACATGACATAATGAAGTGGAAGTGTTTTCTATTTAAGAGAAGAACTCTAAATATTCAGGGTCTGTAAAACATGTGTGAATGAAACAAAACACAACTGCATGTATGTTTGTGATAAGGAAACAACATTATAACATATATCAGAAAATAGAATAATATGGGCCCTTTAAACATCACTGCAGTCCATATAAATGAACGGTCAACTGGACAATTTCCCGTGTTTCAAATTAAGTATGATTTTTCTGTTTATTTGTTATTATTAATAGCTCTATGACATGAGAAATTGTCTCTTTTTGTCAGCTTTCAGTTTGAAATCTCACCTACTGTCATCTTGACGCATGGATGATTTCAGCACAAAATGCCCTGGTGCACTCTCATGTTTTTGTGCAGAGCTCTACGGTCTCTGCGAGTGGTTCTGAATGTTGAGGCTGTTTCTCACATCCTTTTCTCAACCACTACACTCGCTCTCAACTATGTTCCAGCTCAAATAATAGGGTTTCAACCAACCACTCCACTGCAACAAGTCAGATGGCTGAGTTCACAAAAAAAATCCACTTATTAAAAGTTACAGCATTCTGCCTGAGTGTTAGATGATTTATTTTTCAATGTATTAGTTCATTCATTTATTCAGAAAAATATTGGCAAAGATAAACTGTAACAAGTCTGAGAGCAAGACTCAACAGCACTACACTTTTAGGCACTGTGGAAAAGGCAACAGGGCCCAGTGGAGTAATTTAAAAGAGTGAACTAGAAAGGAATTGTAGAGCAACCTTGAGAGCTTTATGAAACATGTTATAATCCACCATTAATAGATTTTTTTTTTTGTCTTGGTGACCTTTAGTCATTTCACCAATCATATCCAATCAAGTTGTATTACAGTGGTGGCAGACTACACAGGGTTTTTGCAGTTCTAGTTCATTTTTAGTTGCTACTTTAAAAATGCACTATGCAACTTTTTTTTGTCTCTATGGAGATGTTATTGCTTTGTCTAGAATGTTTCACAGTATGGCAGTAAAATGTATTTATACAGGTGTTTCTATTCCCCGAAAATACAATGACAAACATGCATTCTTGCTGTTGGTAACTTTAATGTCATACGCATTACAGACAAATATTTACATGCAGACAAAAAAGTAGTGACTCTTCAACAAGTAATGGCCCATTTAGTACATTTGATTTGAGCTAAATTGTATTGATCTTTTAATCTTTGTTTAGAATATCATTTTCATAATCACTGCAGTGTGCACAATTTATTTTTAAAAGTTTAGCCGATCAGTTGGAAGACCTAATAGTTTGCATCAATCATTGACTTTTATAGCTTTACCCTTTGTGATGATTCATCGGTTTGAATCCCTCTCTCAACATAAACATCATTGGTTGAGCAGTCAGATCCACAGACCCACAGGTTTGGCAGTGCGGTTCTAGTTCCCACAGATGAATGCTGTCATTGTGTCCTTGGGCAAGACATTTAATGCACCTTTAGTGTCTGCACTGGAGAATGAACGTGTGTGTGAATGGTGAATGGTTCCTTGATGTAAAATGTAAAATGCTTTGAGTACTTTGGAGGTGGAAAGGCACTATATAAAAATGTGACCCTTTACAATTAACAATCTACACTCTCCAGGTTTTTAAAATTGTGATGTTTTTGTTTGTTTGTTTGTTTTACACTTTTTTGTTCAAAGCCGTCTGAAAAACATCCGCAGTGCTGTACACCAGAGCCACATCAGGTTGAGTCAGTCATGAATGATCAAAGACATCTCTCTGTGCTGACAGATTCACCTTTCTTCCTTTGCCAGGGGCTTTTCTCCACTGCGCCATCTTCCTGCCCCCTCTCCTGGTCAACACTGTCCCCATGTGGTCGACCTAGAGTAGAGCACCTACCACTGCAGTCTGCCTTTAAACTGAAATTAGATTCTTACATCCCACGCAGTGCTGATTTACTGTGCTGTGATGTGGAAATCGAATCACTTTCACATAACGCATTCGAGAAATAAAAGAAGCGTTACTTTATACAGCATTTGAGCGACGGTAATGCCATTTTAGACTCAAAAACACAATTTAGCCCCGGAAACAAGAGCAAATAGGGAGAAAAACCAGCATGATTCAGCATAGTGCAGTCGTGTCTCTCATCCATCACAGTGAAGGCATGAGGGAGGCCATATGTTACCACACTTGACTTTGTTATTGAAACTTTTATACAGCTGCAGTTTTTTTTTAGCTTGTTTAAAAAAAGAAAATGAGATCTGGAAGTTGCCTACAAGTGCAATGTGACCTTAATTGCAATTGGCATGGGTATACAGGGCTGAGAATCACAGGGTCCCTCATGATTCGATACATGAAACAATATTATCACAATCTTCTGGTATATTTGATAATCAGGAAAGTGCACATGAAAATCTGCACAAATTTAATATGAAATACATAAATTTTAGTCATCAAACAGTGAATATGTCAATTGTACTGAATGCAAATTTCCTTTCTTTAAACAAGCAACAAAATTGTAGCACTGTCACAGAATAATTGAGTAAAATGTACCAATAAATAATCCACACTATTGATACTGCACCACAAAATGGTCAAAATTTAAATTTAAAGAATAGTTCACTTCATATGTTTACAATTAGCATCCAACTACAAACACAATAGAAAAACTGCATAACTTATGATTAAAAAATATATAATTAAAAAAACTTCATCTGATGATACAAAATAGACACAATTGGCACACATTTAAAACACACAAAACATGAAAATCCAAAAGAATTTCAGAATTTAGAAAAATGTTTGTCTGACATGGTATTCAAGCATTCAAGTTAGTTATGAAAATGTGTCATTTTCTGAGAAATGTAGCCAACACCATATTCTGCAAAAACAGTAAGGCACCTGCAAAGAAAGAAAACAAAACAAAACAAAAAAACAAAAAAAAACAGCAGCATTTAAAACAAGAGTGGATCGCAGTACACCTTAATCCCAACAATATCATAAAAATGTCTGTAGATAGAGAACTAGAGATTTTAGCCATAGCCTTTTATACTATGAAGCAGTAAGCCTGTTGCCATGGGAACCACATGAATCATTACTGTAGTAATGGCAGGTCATCATTATAAATAACTTTGTACTGAAGCTGTTCTGGTCTAGTGGTACATGTGGTGTATCGGCGTCACAGTGAGCGCCCCCCGGTGGTAGGGTAGGGCCAGGCCATACACAGGGCTCAGACTCTCCACTCTGCCCAGCTGCCGGAGGTGGAAAAGCAGAAGCAGTTTGCGGGTCATAGTGCGCAGGGCCAAGAAAGACGCCATCAGCTCTGCCACCACAAACAACAAGTACAGGGAGTGAGTGGCTCTCTCTAAAGGAAGGATCAGAGTATCTTCATCAGTGAGGAAGAAGAGCAGCACAGGCACAGGGAAGGTGAAGGACAGCACCCAGAAGGCAGCCAGCTCAGGGACCTGGGAAAGACAGCAAGGAGTAACTTTTTATAGAAAAATTAAATGTTGACTTAAATGCATTATATTGTATGATCTAAACATTATTTTAATTACTTTCTGGTAAGCAGTTAAACTTTCAAAATAAAAATGAGACATAGATCTGAAAATTGTGTAATATGGGACTTTAAGTATGCATAATTTTACATTAGGCCTAAGGTTGAATACACTACACAAAATAGCATCATAAAATGAGCCTTATTTGATGCACTTGAGGTTAACCAGCACAGATGTTGCAGTATGTAGTTACCTTTTCCTTCAGGTTTCCCACGTAGCCCAGATACAGTCGGGTCACTTCTACAATAGTGAGCAGAACTATCCCAGTTATCAGCAGCCCCTGATAATAGTCAGCCAGAAGCTCATACTGAAAAGACAGAATGACATGACAACGAATAAATGATTGTACATGTTTGAGTAATCCTTTATTATTAGTCTGTCCACATCTCCAAAGCTCAAAATGCTCTGATAAACCTTGTGATGCCGTGAAGTGGTAATTTTCAAGTTAACAGCTACCTTTTACCTTTTGTTAAGTTGAGAGGTAATTCCAGGGCTGAAATGATCCAAAGGATTCTAGTGAAGGTGTATGGAGTTTAAATACACAGGCAAACCAAATAACAAGGTGGAACAGAGTGTGTTCTGTTCGAGAGAAGAACTCAGCCTAAATATGCAGGGTTTGCGTATTTAACAAGTATGAATGAAACAAAACACAACTCTAGGTACAGTTGTTATAAGAAAATAATATTATAACATAGATTAGAAAATAGGACCTTTTAAATAGTTTTCTCCCAATAAAGGTGTACTTATTTAGAGTAGAATCTGAAATACACAGTGCATGGAAGTACCACTAGATGACTCCACAGTCACACTGTTAGGGTCTTTCAATTAAGACAGAAAATGTTGCACTTCCTCTCACATTTATTTCACTGTTAATTTTTATTTGAATTAGATAAAGTAAATAAATGTTAAGAATCATTTGTAATATTTGTATATGGAGAATGTATCTAATAATAATAACATCCATATTTAAATTGTAGCTGTGCAATTGGAGACTACACAAAACACTAACACAGTAATTACAGTTACTGACTACTGTGAGATTCAATTAAAATATCTAACATATTTTTTGTTTTACAATGTCAGATGATCAATGTAAACTTAAATTCTGCACAAACACAGTGTATTGAAGAGTCTATATTACATTACCTTCGCGTCCAACATGAAGACTGCGGAGAACCACCAACATGGGAAGTAGAACATGTTGAAGTAGAGGAGCATTTGGAGAGGAAGATGAGACACCAGTTCATTCCCTAAAACATAAATTACAAAATACATTACATACTGTACCACATTACTTATTAACAGTTATATTATTACTTCATAGACATTTTAACTCACCAAATGTGTCCTCTTGCTCCCTGGGGTAATCACTGTCTGCAGTTCTGTTGTTGGTGAACACTGAGCTGCCCATATAGGCCAGCCCCATGTGTATATTCTCTGGTACAGGTGAGTAGAAGACAGGCATGACTCTGCTTTGAACTCCTGACCATGTCCAAACAAAAAAACTACTATGTGTACTACTGTGTTAGCTCCAGCGTTGCTAGCAGCTAATCCCACACAGATGCACGCTGGCAGACACTCCAGATAATCAGATTACAGCAGGAGGAGGCGGGATGAGGATTAGGTTGGAAACAGTGGAATTGGTTTGTCAGGGGCCATTTATAGGATTCTGGTTAAATTGATTTAATTTGAGAATAGCACTGAATCTTTGGAGGGAAAACAGAAAATAAAGAGATTTAAAGGACTGGGTTTTTCAGTGCAGGAGAATGGTGAGTACAGTGGTGCAGAGGTTCATAGACTGTGTGAGGGTATTCTTAGAGGACTTGTCTCATTTGGGTTTCTTTGTTCTTGATTGCTGTTAAAACACCATCTTAAAATGCATAATCAGTGTATGTTTTTTTTATTATTATTATTATTCATGATGTTCCAGTGGTGTCATATAACTGTATTAAAATGTACTGAACCTGAATGGATGAAAAAAAAAGTTGATTTGTTGCCAAAAAATGCCAAATATATTGAAATATTTATATACCGTATTGTTTAATGTGATGATACAGTATCAGTATTGAGGGCTCCTGTACTGATATATCTCCAAGAGTATTTTTTGGTATATTTTACTAAATTATTTTGTTACAGCGCTACAGTTTTGCTGCTTGTGTAGAGGAAGGAAACTTGTTTATGCGACACGTTTGACATATTCACTGTTTTGATGTTTAAAATGGGTGTGTTTCATATGAAGTGCTTTAACAAAGACTTTTAGTATTAGCATTATTATTTATTGAACCATATCGAATTGATTTGAAATATATTGTACTGAATTGTATCAAATCATAAGCTCAGTGTATCATGAAATGTATTGTATCGTGGCCTATGTATCGAGGTATGTATCGTATCAGTAACTTCTGAAATTCATTTTTTGCACGTTTTTCCACACTAAATTAGACATTATATAGGGCTATAATGTAGGGATTGTTTATTCATTTACATTAATAATAAGTTGCGTATTATGACAAATATTATGATATAGGCCTATAACAAACTATGTCATATATTTTTATTTGATTAACAATCTTGCTTCATCTACTAACATGTTTGCAATAATGTGTGTAGTGCCTTGTGTCTAGACTTAGCAGACATTACACAATAGTAGGAAAAAAGCTATTGTTTATTTTGTAAAATGGTCAAACAGTGACTCATGGATTTGAACTGCGTACTGCCCTGGTCCAGCGTGTCTTCAGAAAGGAGCCTGGCCTGTGTGTATAACCTTTAGGCCCCATTCGTCATTGGTGTGTTCCAGGTGCAGTGGCAGAGTTCAGCCGCAAGGGGTCCTTAAAGCTCGTCCCTGGGGGCGCGCAGGGGGAAGTTCTGGAAGTCTTCTGGCACCTCCTCCCCTTTCTTGGACCTCTTGTAGAAGCCCAGTGAGTCCAGCAGGCTGCAGATCTCAGCCGATGTCATCTTCTTCACCCGGACGGTCTGAGGAGTTCAAACACACACACAGGGCATTAGACCAAACATAACACATGGAGGTTATATGACAAATGACCATAGGAATCCCACTGCCTTATATAGGACTAATTATAGGCTGCATAGCAAAATATCGTGCTATTAATTCCTGCAGTGTTGTTGTTATTATTACAATCTTTTCCCATAGTTGACACTGATACTATTGCAGTATATTGTGCATCTAAACTAGGACACACCCGGGTTGGTATAAATAAATTGTAAGATTGTGCATTCTTGTGTCATAATCTGAGTGTCTTCTGTTGCTGCACTTTTTTGCTTTGTGGTCATTCGCAAACATAGTTTTCTGTATTTTGGCTAAACAAATGACAATGTATGCTCCTCTTTACTGTTGGCGGGGATCAGATTAGTTAAAAATTGTGATAGTCTTGTTTTAGTCCTGGTTTAGAGTTGATGTAAACCTGGTTTAGACCTGGTGTAGATCAAACTGATCAAAAATAGGGACACCTGGGACATACATTGTATAAAAGTGGGACAAATCACTGTTTTTGAATAAATCTGGGACAGGGGACACAGGGCTCAAAACGGGGACTGTCCCAGGTAAATAGGGATGTCTGGTCACCTTAGTGTACACAGAAATATTGCACCAAATTTGCACTGCTTTTGTTTGTAGGCCTATAACTTTGCAGTAACATCATGCTGGGGGTGTTCTACAAGTATATGTATCAGCTCAAGAAAAAAGCACAAACTGGATTTAAACAGCACATTTTCAGGAGCCTGTGATTAATAGAAGTCTTCATTATCCTGTTTAGGTGTTTGATTGGTTTGATTAGGTGCCAGTGTGACTCACTGAAAAACTGTTGGCTAATGCTATCTATCTTGTGTGTAATGTTATTTGAGATGGCACAAATGACACAAATCAGCTCACCTAGGGCAGTTCGTTATGGTCAGATTGTGTTAAAATAAAGCTCTTACAAAGTCTAACAAGACCTCAGACAGAGCAGAGCCTATAGTTAGCATCACACCCCCAGGGAATGTTGATGACATTCACTGCAAAATATCAATATAGGCCCACTACTGAGTCAATTTATCTATAAATGGGACTGACAATAATGCTGGTCTTAATTTTTTTGAAGAATGTTCAAGTTTCTTTTTAAATGTCAAATTTCAAAGTTTACACTAAAGAGAGAAGTGAGAAAAGGTTTAAAAATGTAATTATTATTTAGACTTTTTCAGTTTTCAATAATGACAAATCCCCAACTTTTTGCATATTATTTGTAGTCTCTTGATAAGTCAATACATTTTAGAGAAAAAATAAATACATCTAGCTTAAAGCAAGAGCATCTTTACTTTAGCTGGCTATAAAATATAAGTATAGTGCACACAATGTCACATAACATTGTATAGAGCTGCTCCTGCCCAGTTGCACCATACAGTCACAGTATACTTAAAACTGCCAACCAGAATCCCTCAGAAAAGCATGTGATAAACAATGGCTGAGTAAAGTATAGGTTTAGTCTGTGATCCCACAAGAGTCCTGTGATGTGTTCTGCAAAACGTTCAATTCATTAGAGCTGGTTTCAGTGGAGACTTTTTACAGGCAGTGACAAAAATACTGCCTCTGTGGGAAAACGATTCACAACAACACTGGAGTTTCAGAATAATTTCAGATGATGTTGAGAAAAATACATTTTTTAAATATATCTTTAATATAGTGGAGGTTTTATTGAGATATATTATATAAAAACACAAGAAAATCAGATTCCATTGTCCCACTGAGAAGTTGCATTTATGATAAATAAGGATTCGAACTGGTGTTTTCTGTTTGGAGGTGGTCCACCAATTGCTTGTCTATTTTGAGATGTTACGAGCCAGGCTGGCGCCACCTAGTGCCTCCGCTCAATTTAATTTCTCTCCAGTGACTAGGTCAGGAATTGAAATACACTAGAAGCTTTGTAAGACCCCTGAAGTGCGAGAGTCATACATTCTGTGTTGGCAACGATTCTCAAGATCAAGGATTTAAAGCCAGAACAAAGAGAATGTTTGGTTAATTTTATCAAGGGGAAAGACGTTATTGCCCTTCTTTCTACAGGATTTGGGCTTAATATACCAGTTAGCCCCGTTAGTGGCGCATTACATACATCACGACCAAATAGCAGCGATTGGTTAAATTTTAAAAAAGTACCCGCTTACAGCCGAGCGAATGAATCCTAATGCTGCAAGGTCAGACAGTTTCCCCAAAGTGAATCCGGCTGATGAATCCACAGTAAAGCATTAAACTTAAACCCTCCGACACAAAAGTAACATAGAGCATTTTTAAAATAAATAAACTAAAATATCAAAATGTACTTAAAAAATTACCATATTGTTTGCTCCTTTGAGCCCTTTTAATTTAAACTGACTATTATTTTTGTTATTCATGTCACTTTGTTCGTTCTCATTGCACTGTGTTTGGTGAGTATTTCATTGAAGGTCATATATTAACATAAAATTGACCTTTGTGAGTTTTAAACTATTTTATAATGTTTTTTGTTTTGTTTTTTCAAGCACATACCCAAAGTTATGTTTGTTTCTTTTATTGTTGTTTATTTAATCTTTTATTGTTAGTTTTTCTACAGCTCCAAAGCTCAAAATGCTGTGTTCGACTTTGTCATGTCATGAAGTGGTTTTCAAGTTAACTGCTAACTTCTACCTTTAGTTCAGTAGAAATCGGCAGTTCCTGGGCTGAGATCAAATGATTCTAGTAAAGGTGTATGGTGTTTAAAACTTAAACTTAGACATAGACAGACTTTATTGATCTCCAAGAGACACATCCATATTGATCCACTAGGGAAACATGTGAATGAAACAAAACACAAGTCCAGGTAGGTTTTTGAATAGGAACATTATAACATATAGATCAGAAACTAGTGTAATATGAACCCTTTAAAATCCATATTGCTAGATTCATTCATAGCCTTCATGTCCCTCTGTGAACCCCATATGAGTGAGTGTCTGACAGGTGATCAGACAGGAGCAGCAGCCGGCCTGAGACTCCCACAGCGCTCTGACACTGTTCACGATCAACCCTGTTCACCCACATCTCACCTTCACCACCTCTCCTGCCTCATTGTAGAAGACCAGACGGGGCTTCTTCTCTTCTGATGAGTTGTATTGCAAGTTATGGCTGAACGGAACAAGTCAAGGCACAGTACAGCAAATGTTAGAAAAGAAAATATAACTTATGAGCAAATCTGTAACATCACCATGCTTTTTTGCTGTTTACTATGATGAGCTCTGACTTAAAAGTGCTGCCAAAACTAGATACAAATGTTAACTGCTTCCACTACTACTACTACTACTATTTGAGATATTGCAGGTTGCTCGCATACTACTACCTCCCACATTATGTACTTTCATGTTTGGACCATATGAGGATACTACAAAGCCATCTGCTCCATGAGGAAGTGATAGAGCTCAGGCATCTTCTTTATGGCTCATCCAACCACACTGGGAGCCTGCAGGGACAAGCAAGACACAAGACATGAAATAACTTTGCGATCAAACACAGGCCTACAATGTGCAAGGCTGTTTGAGCTAGTTTACTCCAGACGACTACAATACACTTTCTTTATATAGCCTAGCTTTTCTGTTTAGTTGGCAACATTATTAGCAAGTAAGCACTTACTTTTAATTAGTATCGCATCTAAACTAACCATAGAATAATATCAACTTTGTGTATTACCATCTCAGCCCCAAAGTAGCAAGGGCAGATTTGATTGCATTCAAATAAACCAAACCAAAATCAAGAATAAACTCAACTCCAACTTGCAACTAAATGTGGATTTCACAAGAACTAAACCAGGACTAGGACAGGACCAAACCAAATCTACCATTAGGACTAAACATAGGCTCAAACCAGGAGTGTGAACTTGCTCTTAAATGAATCATATATGGTACCAAAGATGTATTATTGCACATGCAGATACTCATATCAGGTATATTTATAATTTTGTCCAATTATTTAGTAAAGCCGTACACATCTTTTGCCTTTTTATAGATATGAGTTCTTCTAATTAATAGAAAAGGTCAGAAACATATGGGTACTGTTTTTATATTAAATAACATAAAATAATCAATACATTCTAGCAACTATAACTTAATAAACAAAATAGTAACTGTCTGTATACTTACATATATTGTAGCTCTGGCTATTTCAAGCTTCTCCACTGCTGTGTCATTGTTTTCTGATGCCCCAACACTGAGCACCAGGGTGAGCACCAAAAAGGCCCACATTTTGTCTTTGAATGACTTACTGAATGCTTTGCCCATGTGTATAGACTTCCTTTTAATCAGTGACCGGCCCGGACTATACCAAATCACATTGACATTCTGTGCTACAACTTTTCTATTGACCTCAGTATTGATACCAGAGAACTTTTGTGTTTGTAAAGTAGGCCTGCACGATTTTGGAAAATAATTTAATTGTGATTTGATTTCCAATATGTATTTTAAAAAGTAGAATTCTGTTCAGAGTTCATGTTGTAAACAATATCAACATTTGAAAGAATAAGATGGAAATCTGAACTCATGAATTAATACAAGAATATCAGTATTTCAGTTTGTAGAGGTCTAAAGTACAGGTACAAGATTTTTCTATAAAAAATATTGAACTGTTCTTATTTGCAGAGGACATTTTATTATCTAAATAGTTGCGATTAATTGTCCAGTCTGACTGCAAAGGGCTAAAAGTACCCCAGTCTTTCAGAGTAGTTGGTTCCTTCCACATCAGATGCTGTCGTGGTCCTCAGAAGCCATGAAACATCTGCGCTCTTATCACTGGTTCCCACAGATGCAGGTGGCAGGTGGCGAATGGTCAGGGTGAGGCGGGTCTCTCTCAGAGCTCAGGAAACTGCAGTCTCCAGGAGGGTCCTTCATGAAGAATGGCTCTTTAATTGGTCTCATTCGTCCTCTATCGGAAATAGATTCATCTGTCCGTGTGTATAAATAAAACTATAAAAATCTACCAGGCTACAACGTCAATAATGTCATTTGGTTGAATTTGAACATGGGTAAAATTAGACTGTATTGAGCTGGTCTTCCATTGACTTATGAATAACTAAGACAACAAGAATGTGATACTTAGAGAATTAAATTAATACATATGTTAAAGGTATATTTTACATACAAAATCAAGAAAAAAGACTCAACTACATTTTGATAAAAGGTCATTTAAGGCAGCTGTAACCAGTTTGTCTAAAAAACATGAAAATAGATCTAGTTTGCAGTAGTCTAAAGTTATTCCTTGCTTATGCTTTCTGAGCTTATGTGATAAAATTAACTTTACTCATTACCATTGAATACTATTACTTCAAAATAATATTAATCAAGTAGAAATTCAAAGCTTTAGTTCAAGTAATAATTACTCAAATAAGGCTAAAATTATTTTAGGAAACTACAACTCAGGTAAGTGGAACTGTGCAACTTTCTAGACATTACCCCATTTATAATTTGAATGTTAATCAAACGATGGATGACACAAATGAGAAAACAAAAGTACACCTAAAGAAGCAGTGCAAGAAATACAAATGCTCAGATGATTTAATATTGCCAACATAAAGCTTTTGTCACTTTGTTACCCAGTTTGTCTAAAAAAAAAAAAAAAAAGATGAAAAATAGATCTAGGTCATTTCTTACAGTTTGCAGTAGTCTGAAGTTATTCCTTGCTTATGCATTCTGAGCTTATGTGATAAAATTAAAGATGCTTTTCACAACTCTTTCACAACAACCACAGCGGATATGATGGTAAAACTAGCATGCAAACAGCACACAGTGAACATATTCTGATCTAGAGAGCTTCTTATACAGTAACTCTATGCTGGGGTAAGACACATTTTGCTCAAATATATGGAGAAAAACTCATAAGCCTTAACTGTTTCCAACTATTTGTCTCTATAAGACGTTAATAACAAGAATGGCAAAGAACAAGTTGACCTGATCCTGTCAAAATTCAGAATAGCTGAATTTTGACTTTTCATAACAACATTTGATCCAGTTCCTAACAGATTAATTGCCCGTATGTCATTTGTATGCTAAATGCTTTTGGCTTATTCTTGGAAGATTGTATAACCAACACGACCGTCAAATGTAAACAACATACTTAGCAAACTGACCCAATTTCTCCCAAACTTCTGCCCTCATGGAAAAGCGAATTCCCCAAATGGCTTTGTACAAATCATTCACTTCTCTCTCTTTGTTTCATGTTTTTCCTCCATGTGCAGTTTTTTTTTGTTTTTTTTCTTAACCCTGGGATGGTCTTTTTATGAGAATGACTTCAACAGCACGCCACATTTGCACACACAACAGGCTGAGGAAAACAAGCCCTCTCTCCCCTCCCCATTGCTCTCTGTTGTTGTGGAAAAGCAAAGTCACCAGGTCACCACAAGAGGGCGCCCACAGCCACACGTTGGCTTACTGGCAGTTTGGCGGGTAACTTCCAAATTGTGTAGCCACAGACAATTATCTTTCCAACAAAAATAAACCATGGCGGCCTGGAATGCTGAAGCAACTGTTCTGGTGCTATCTTTTCCACATCTGCACAGCTCATAGTCATCGGATTGTGTGAGTCATGTATTCCCATTTTAATGTTTTGTTCTGTTTGGCAAAGAATTAAGCAGGTTATCATGTGAGCAGATCCTGAACAAAGGTCTCATTTTTTCATTCAAGTCCACTTTTTTTTTTTTTTTTACCTAATGGCAGATGCATCTTGTAAGGTTTAATACAAGACAGCAGCAGGCCTAATACTGCAGTGCCAGAAGGTAAAACTAAAAGGCTTAGTCAGTGCTTTGGGGACCTGAGAAGTAGTAGTAGTTGTAGTAGTAGTATTTGATTTTATTATTTGTGTTTTGCTTTGTTTATATTGTTATTTTAATGTCTTTCTTATTCTGCAAAGCATTTCCATTACTTTGTGTACAAATTATGTTATACAAATACACTTGCCTTGCATAGTAGTAGTAGTAGTAGTAGTAATAGTAATAGTAACAGTAATAGTAATAGTAGCAGTAATCGTAGTAGTAGTAGTAGTAGTAGTAGCAGTAGCAGCAACAGTAGTATCAGTAGTAGTAGTAGTAGTAGTAGTAGTAGTAGTAGTAGTAGTAGTAGTAGCAAGTAGTGGTAGCTGTAGCAGTAGTAGTAGCAGCAGAAGTAGTAGTAGTAGTAGTAGTAGTAGTAGTAGTAGTAGTAGTAGTAGTAGTAGTAGTAGTAGCAGCAGCAGGAGTAGCAGCAGCAGTAGTAGCAGCAGTAGTAAGTAGTAGTAGCAGTAGTAACAGTGGTAGAAGCAGTAGTAGTAGTAACAGTAGTAGTAGCAGTAGTAGTAACAGTAACAGTAGTAGCAGTAGTAACAGTGGTAGAAGCAGTAGTAGTAGTAACAGTAGTAACAGTAGTAGTAGTAGTAGTAGTAGCAAGAGTGGTAGCTGTAGCAGTAGTAGTAGCAGCAGTAGTAGCAGCAGTAGTAGTATCAGTAGTAGTAGTAGTAGTAGTAGTAGTAGTAGTAGTAGCAGCAGGAGTAGCAGCAGCAGTAGTAGCAGTAGTAACGGCAGCAGCAGTAGTAACAGTAGTAGTAGCAGTAGTAAGCAGCAGTAGTAGCAGTAGTAACAGTAGTAGTAGCAGTAGTAGTAACAGTAACAGTAGTAGCAGTAGCAACAGTAGTAGTAGCAGTAGTAGTAACAGTAACAGTAGTAGCAGTAGCAACAGTAGTAGTAGCAGTAGTAGTAACAGTAACAGTAGTAGCAGTAGTAACAGTAGTAGTAACAGTAGTAGTAGCAGCAAAACCTCAGCACAATAATGATGAAAGTAAGTAAGGACATTTTTAAGGGAAGTTCATTTTTGCCGATTACCAAGAAACTAAATATATTTACCAGAACACAGATTTTTCTATCTGTGTAGAATAAAAATTTGCAAAACAGGAGAAGTTGCAGTCAGACTGAGGAGTGGGGGAGGGGCCTTTACTGTGTATGCACTCCATATGTGTTCCCCATCAGCATGTTTGAGCTGACATCACATGGTTCATGCCAAAATGGAGATGTTATTATTAATCTGCTGACAAAGGGAAAGCACACTACAGTTACAATTACTGTGCCACTTTTACAATTTCTGCATCTGGCACACGATCAAAGCCTCCACAACACTGGGGGTGTAATCCTGGCCTTCTTCACAGAGTTTATTTTAAAAGTGCTCACTTCCTGTTTCTGCAGAAGCGCCGGATACTGCCCACCAACCAGCAGGACACTAGACTGGGCTGTTTTCTTACCGATTTAGCTTTTTTTCTGAAATCAAGCCAATATCCGTGTTCATATTCAGGATGCACACAGGGACACATGTAAAAGTCGTGTATTGTAGCTGATGTCTGAAGCCCCAGGCAGCTCGGATGTGCTGCTGGTGGTAAGGAAGTGAAGGGGGGTGGTCTTTATGAGCTGCCCTGGTCATAAAGAACCAGGGCATTACTGAAGGAAGTCAGGGCCTCAGACAGGACAAACACAATGCTAATGAGTGGCCTCTACTGTACACCAGAAGTTCAAGCTGCCAAATATTGTTTCCTCTTAGACAGACTGTGACTATAGTGACTCAGTACCATCTGGCCAAAAGGAAGTTGAGAAGCCAAAATAGTTTTACTCATTACCATAGAGTACTATTACTTCAAAATAATATTAATCAAGTAGAAATTCAAAGTACAGGTTAAAGTAATAATTACTCAAATAGGGGTAAAAGTATTTTAGGAAACTACAACTCAAGTAAGTGCCCTGTCTAGCTGTCTAGACATTACCCCATTTATAATCTGAATATTAATCAAACGATGGATGACTCAGATGAGAAAACAAAAGTACACTTGAAGGAGCAGTGCAAGAAATACAAATGCTCAAATGATTTAATATTGCCAACATAAAGCTTTTGTCACTTGTAGACTTACAATGAGAAGCGTAAACAAAGGGTGCATTTACCGTACTCATGTTGTGATGTGATCCTTGTTTAATCCCAGTTTAGTCCTGATATAGACTTGGTTTGGTCTTGTTCAAGCTTTGGTTTAGTCCTAGTCTGGTCCAGGTTGAGTCCCAGTTTAGTCCTGGTTTTGCACAATAGATACATTTCTCAATCATTTGTAAAGTACTCACTCAAGTGTACGTAAATGTAACTGAATAATGCTACTCATCTCTCATTATACCAGCTTTTCATTGTCAACTGCTAAAACATTACACCCTCACTTAACTTTGTCTGAATTAAAATACAAACAAACAAACGAA